CCCGCTGATCATCCTCGTACTTACTCTCAAGTCCTCTTACAGTTCTGCCTGGCGAACAGCATCGGTTTACTTTTTTTTTTGTGTTTTTTTTCCTGTTTCAATTAACTCTATATATAGATGATCCTCTCTCATACAAACATATAAATACACCACCGCTGCTCTGCGCCACCACAGGAAGAGGCTCTACCGGCGGGCTGATGTAGTCCTGTCGATGTACACAGTCTCTCAAATAGTAGACAGGGTGGGCAGGCAAGAAAATCTTCAATCTTTCTCTGTAGCATAGATTTGGACTTTTTTTTTGTTGGTGATTTTTTTGATTTAGTTGTTTCCTTTGAATTATTTATTATTTTACAGGATTTCGTATTTGTCGACGAGAAAGGAGATTTCTGAAGAGAATCGAACGGAGGTGTCGCCGTCTACGAGGGTCGCTTTGGTAACCTGGGAGAAAAGGGAAAAAAAAGAGAGGAAGGAAATTAACAACAAACAGGAAGCAACAACAGCAGCAGCAACAGGAAGTGGTTTATCGTAAATAACATTCCTGAGCACAGGCAGGAGAGAGGAACTGGTTTTGCATATTTTTACATTTCTTTCCTGTAAGTATACCACTTTAATTTCCAACCTTTTATCCATAATACACTGTTATAATACACATTTATCTGGCCATTAATTAGCCTCAGGCCAATATAAATGCATTGTTAGATTAGAAAATCAATCAAAATCATTATAATTTGGTTGATAACTTGTTCTGTAGATCTAAGAGGAAATGTACTCTGCCTTTCAACACAGTAGAGCTGCAATAAATTATATTTCTAACGTGCCGTTTTGTAGCTTTGACACTATTGTTTAACCTTTGTCATCTTCCCATCAACTTTGCAATTGTTGTCCTCTCAATTTATAAAGCAAATAATATAAATCTTTACCCAAATTAGTTTTACACCTTCTTAGCCAAATTGAATCCGAGTTAGACTATTCTTTTTATAACTGTGGTCATAGTTAATGGTTCACCACAAATAAATAGAGAAGCAATTCAAACGCTTCTTCCTATATACAGTGGGGCAAAACAGTATTTAGTCAGCAACCAATTGTGCAAGTTCTCCCACTTAAAAAGATGAGAGGCCTGTAATTGTCATCCTAGGTATACCTCAACTATGAAAAAAAAATCCAGAAAATCACATTGTCTGATTTTTAAAGAATTTATTTGCAAATTATGGTGGAAAATAAGTATTTGGTCAATAACAAAAGTTCATCTCAATACTTTGTTATATACCCTTTGTTGGCAATGACAGAGGTCAAACGTTTTCTTTAAGTCTTCACAAGGTTTTCACACACTGTTGCTGGTATTTTGGCCCATTCCTCCATGCAGATCTCCTCTAGAGCAGTGATGTTTTGGGGCTGTCGCTGGGCAACACGGACTTTCAACCCCCCCCAAAGATTTTCTATGGGGTTGAGATCTGGAGACTGGCTAGGCAACTCCAGGACCTTGAAATGCTCCTTCGTTGCCCGGGCGGTGTGTTTGGGATCATTGTCATGCTGAAAGACCCAGCCACATTTCATCTTCAATGCCCTTGCTGATGGAAGGAGGTTGTCACTCAAA